CATGATTTTCTATTTCAAAATGCATATATAAAAATTAGTTACTTTTACATATTCCATGAGAGAAAATCAATAAGGCCTAGCAAATTATGGCATATGAGTATAAATTTTGTAAGTAGAAGAGATCATTGTTTTCTGCATTTCTTTATTTACTGTTCTATGTTTTAAGAAAAATAAAATAAATTTAAGTTTGTTTGAAATTAGCAATAATATATATACACATATGTAATGTATTATAACTGAAATGTGATTGTATTCTACAAAATACTGGTCCACAAAAACAAAGTTACGACAGTTGCAATTTTGAAAGGCCAGTTTTATATTGTTGGATATGGTAACATAAAGCTGCATATAATGTTAGTCAGACATGGCTGAAAGGTCAATAAAATAAAAATAATAAATACATATAGATAGATGTATAATGTTATGAGATTTAAGCTACTTAGAATAAACATTTTTGGTTTTGCAATATAATCTGTAGTCATTCTAGAATGAAAAAAGCATAATTTAGATCTATTTCCTAATTTTTTATGCTGGTTACAAGGTTGGTTAAATCGATCAAAACCATACAGAGATAAGATAGGAAAATTAACATATAAAATATAAATTTGTTCTCAAAAAGACATTTGATAATAATCTGGACATTATTAGAAGGTTATAGAGACTTCGCATGTGGAATTTGACAATTTTCTGATGCATAAAAGTATTTTTAATCTTAAAATCAAAATTACTTTGCATATTGGCTGGTCAACATTTGAAACAAAAACACAATTAAATTCATGAAATGGATATACAAACACAGAATGATACTGATCAAGGCAATGGGATGGTTTACTCAGAAAGGATGTGACTGCATTCGCAGAAGCCATATAGTGCATTTAGTGTTTGAAAGATTAGTGACACAAACTAGGCAATCCAGTTCATTTAGAGCAGAATGTGAAGCACATTAGGATACAGTTGTAATGGTGAAGATATGACAGGATCATACTCTTCACAGACCTCTTAAATCTCATCAAATGACTGAAGACATCCAGACTCAATAATTAGCTAATCATTCCTAAAAGATAACATTACTATGTTCCAACCTTTCTTTAACAAAAAGGTTCCAAACAGTCTGACAAATACAGGTATAATATTTTAACAGAATTATAAACTGAATATATTCAAACATAAATTTATTCCCATGGATCCTCCTGACATACATAAAGTTACTGTGCTTAAACATATGATTTACGACATTTTTACAAGAATATTTCAGTTGTGTGCAGAATTAGTAAATAATACTGCCTAAAACAAATGGTACATATAAATTGGTTGGAGAAATCCAAAATATTTTTGATGAACACTTAATTTCTAAACAATTAATTAACACTTTATTGTAAAGTACTAACAAAAAGACTTATTTGAAAGTAGGTATTTAACTTTTGTGAGTGGCAACTATTATGTAAAGGTTAAAGAAAATTAATTATAAAATTTTTTCATACACGCATCTTTTTATGATCATGTCACATGGTTTTACTAAGTTACACTCAAAAGTTAATTAAGTTACTTTATCATCATGGTATATAAATAAACTTCACATCAAAATATTGTGAGTAATCTACATTTTAATATACATTTTAAGTTTTTAATTCTATAAGGCAATATTAAAGAAAAAATCCTCAATTTCCCCTAGTACGTGACTTGTGACATTTGCTCTCTCGGTATGCCCTCTTCTCTAATTTATTTACCACCCCTCTAAGAAGCAGGAATTTAACTTAAATTACTCATTATTATATTGTTATTACTCAGGCAAAGCATATTTTCTAGAGCCTTCAATGTTATTTGGTTACAGAGCCATAAAATAAAAAAATAAGGCCCCTCTTGCCATGCCCAGTTGTCACATCCTCTCTTTCACAAATTGCCAATAGATCTCTCTCTAATGTTTGATATTATATTATTTTAATCAACAGAAAGCCAAAGATTTATTCAATCAAATGAAGTATTATTTTATGTTGTTTTCTGTACAGAGAATTGCCTATTTTGCTTCCAATTCAAATTTATTCCCACGGGAAACACATCGAAGAGCTCAGCTGAATTTTTAAAGGCTCTTATTGCCTAGTTAGAAAGCCAGAAAAATTAAGATAGTTCTAGGACAATGTCTGCTTTTTTATATGTTATTATTCTGTGTTCTTAGATGCAGGATGTAATTGAATAAATAATTTAGTGCAGTAGTAGAATTAGTATAAAAAAGTAGGGTTAAGATTCATAAACAATCAACAGAAAAAAAAAGACCCAGGTAGGTAAATATTTACTTACAATTCAAAGGAATACAATGTTAAAATCATTACACAATAAATAGTTATTAAAAACAGGGACTTGCCCTAAAAAAAAAAAAGAGTCTATATGTTTTGGTGTCCTATGACACCATCTTCTGGAGTAATGGTAAAGGCATAGTTAGGACTTATATACCCACATAATCATTTACATACCAATAAGGCCATCTAAGTTACAAAACATTTTCCAGTACTTTATTATTTCTGGACCTGGACCAGCTTCCTTGTTTAATACAATATCTTTGCTTTTTTCAATTTCAATAGTTTCTCTGATATTTAATTCAATTTTAAATTCTACCTGTTTTATCAACTCAGTGCTACTTCAGTCTACGACATGAGATGTTTCTGCCACATCTTCTGCTAATACCGATTCATTTACTTCGTATTTTTTATCGTATTTTTCATGCTCCTATATCCTGAATTATAAAATTCCACACGTTTGACCAATATAAATTCGACCACAGATACAAGGAATTTTGAAATCACACATTTATCAATTTTTTATTCTGTCTTTTGTACTCATGAGACTATGTAATTTACAGCATGGAGAGTATGTTACACCATGTTCTATGTATTTTTTCACTATGTTACCTATTCTTGTAGATGAGCCTTGAACATATGGTAAACAAACTCTCATGTTATCTTCTTTACAATTTTCCTCTAACCTTGTACATGCTAACATTCTTAATCTATTGATATGTTTATGATGCAATCTATCAATAATTTCAGATTTCTGTCCTCTACCTCTGGCTACATGTTTTAAGAAACTTAACTCTGTTTTCACATCACAATCTCAAGAGTATATTTTTAAGGTTCAAAACTCAAATGAGGAAAAGACAGATAGTTTTTGTGTCCATGAGTGACACGATCTATTGTGTGGTGGTACTGCCACAGAAAATGGCTTTCAATAAACAGAAGTTAAGAGCCATCTATTGTCCTGAGTGAGCCCATACCTAAAGTGTTAACAGCTACGCTTATGTCCATATCTTTCAAGAGGTGCAACTTTTTCCTTATTATGTGTATGGCCACATAGGTAATTAGAAAGTAAGGTAGCTAAAATTTCTAAATATACAGAAGGTTGAGTATGTTATATTAAAGTAATTTAGAAAAGCAAATCAGCAAGTCATGTGAAAACCACAGCTGATACATAGTCAGTGATATGGCATTTTTCAGAATTACATTTTGACACTGTCTGGTAACTCAGAAGTAGAGTGATGTGAATGAAAACTGATTGCTTTTGAGAAGGGTATATGACAACCAACCCCCAACATAAAATATTCATACACTTAGATCATAAGAATATGTTCTGACTGGGGATTTAGAATTTCCAAGATGGGAATATCCCTTGTACTTAATGGCACTAAAGGATCCCTGTCTGGATAAGATGTTATGAGTTATTTAAGACAAGGCTTTCAGTCATACCTCTTGTTCAACCATACATAACAAGTATCTAGAAAATGAAAAGGGTAGTGATGACATTCAATACAAAGCCATTCCGGTTAACTGTATGACTAATGGGTATCTATATTGTAATGATCTAATGTTGTTATTCTTATATTACAATCCAAAAATAAAACTAGTAGATGAAATTGTTTGAAATTTGACAAGAACTTTCCTAAAAGTATGTAGTTTCAGAAAAATAAAAACATCTAATTTAGATTTTTTCTACTACTTCTGATAAAAATTCATTATTTAATGTAGTTATTTGCTCTCAGATTCTTTGAGTTCACCTGCAAGGCGATTTTTCATGTTAAGTACAAAAGATTAATTTGGAAATTGGGTGGGAATTACATAAGCTTTTTCTTGGAATGTTTGCAGTTGAAATGTGAAAGTCATGATTGGAATTTGACTGTGTATGCATAGAAGCTTGTCTAGGGGATACTTAGACTAAGCTGAATAGAAATAGAAGAAACCAAAGCTAAAATATTTTAACTGTACGTGCATCACGTGACAACAAAACTGAAGTTTTAATTTTTTGTTTTAGAGTTTCTTTCAAAATAAAGGAATAATAACTTGGATAATATAAAACTTTGAACTGTGACATAGTTGGTAATGCTAATTTCATTAAAAACATTGATCTACCCAATTCATACACTTTGTTATAGTTTTGGTAATGCTAATTTCATTAAAAACATTGAGAGTAAAATGGTTTAGTTAAATTCTGAATGTAACACTTTTTATGACATGTGCAGAGAAGAATTTAAAGAGTGCATTGGTAATTACAGGGTTAAAGTCACTGAATACAACATCTATGGATTTCTATGTGACAGGACTATCAAAACAGATGCTTGGAAACCATCCTCATGCACTAGATGGATTATGGAAATCAGGTAGAGAGAAGTGATGTGCTTTTGACATAATGGTCTTTACAACTGAACCGTTTGCAATGGAAACTATGCTGCACAACTATTGTCAAGACGCAAGGTAATCAGATAACATGGACTGTAATGACATGGTGAGGCTCCAAAAATTCTTTTAATTTAACATATTCAAACTCTCTAATTGTTTCCTGTGTGGGAGACCTACATTTTCTGTCCCTTGTTCAGTGCAACAGTGATATTTTCAAGTACTGTATAACTTGTCACATAATGTAAAAAAACATATTTTTAGACATATGAAAAAACACTGCAAGCAAAAAGAACAATACCTTTTGATAAGTTTTCATGTAACTTAATGTTTGAAACTTACTCTTCTATATCATTAAGTTTTTCTGGCAAAATGGCAAGAGGTTTCAAAGAGTTGGGTTTTTCCTTGATTATCGGGATGAAGGGTGATCTGCTGTTGTCAATCTTATCTTTAAATATCAACTGAGGTCGCTGAATGTTTTTTGCTGTCAACAATCTAAATGTCCCAGGAGATGATACACTTCTGGAGTACTTGTTTCTCTGAAAGTTCAATAATAGAAGTTTATTTTAATTCTCCTTATTAGACTTCAGAAAAGAATAAACAGGTTATTAAACAATAGTTATTAAAGTCCAAACACAGCACAATTAAGCTTTACTGGTAGAACTTGTGATTTTTTTACAAACCTTTTTAAAGGTCCTATTGCTAAACTGACTTGTATGGAGCTAGTGCTGTGGTGTGCCACATACTCAATTAACACCTATCTCTTGATTTCCTACAGATTATTGAGATTTAATCAACATGCAAAAATACACTGTATAAACTTGGTTTTCCTATTTGAGTGTGCAATTATTACTAACTTCTTTTGCTTGATTCAAATATCTCCCAGACAGATATGCATGTTTATATAAAATTAAGGAGATACTGATACTTCAGAAATAACCAGTTAGTTAATACACACCATGCCTGACAAGAAGCAGATGAGAATGACGATATACTGCCCTGGATGGGATGCCAGTCATTTTAGACAGTTAACCAATGATAAGTATTTAATATGCCCAAAATATATCTCATTTTCAATATTTCTGGCACAATTTTGTGTAAATCTTTATGAAACTGTCCTCAGACTTACTTTTATGTATCTATTAATCAGAAGCATACCAATGAAACTTATAGTTTGTTTTAACTGTTGATATCTTAATATTACTGAAGAAAACAAATCCATACAATAACAGCCATTAAGTTATGTTTATTACAAATCAAAAAACATCACTTTCAATAACTGAGAGATTTTTGGTAGATTTAGTGTAAAAGTTTTAAATACAAGTTTTCAATATTTTTTTCAAAAATATCCATAAGAGACTACTAAAGGATGATAACCTAAAAGAAAGAACACCACTAAATGTTGAAATACCATAACTATCTTTAAGGCTAAAAGCTTAACTTAATGAACTTGTTTTTCAAAAACTATCACAATCATGAGTGAGTAGTAGACAAGAGCTCTAGCCTCTAGCTTTAAGGCTAACATATGTATTTATAAAGCATCTAAAAATACTGCATTTATCTAATACGTACAGAGACCACTTCATGGAAAATAAATATCAATGACAAGAAAATGGTATCTTTACTTTTACACAAATCTTTCTTTTTCTAAATGCTTCTGCTTGCCCCTACCTAACACAAAAACCACTTTTTATACAAATAGTGCCAAGTGAACCTCAGGAAGAGAAACAAAGAAAAAAAAAAGATTAAACTGCAAACTGATAAAAAGAAAAGAGCAAGTAGCAACAAATCAAGAGAAGTATATTTCCTTCATTCAGTAAAGTACACTCATCAAGCATGAGTCTCCTTGATTAAGTACATTTGACTAAGTAAGGTACATTTGTCCAAAATATGTTTCTGAATTCAGTAATGTATAGTTTTCCAAAATATGTATTCTTGACTTAATGAGGTGTACTTGTCCACATTTTCTTGACTGAACAAGTTACTTGTCCAGAATGTCTCCTTAACCCTATATCAATAGGGTATCTGTAAAGCTATACACAGTGATGTTTACTATATTCCTCAAACTACTATATGCAGCTTCATGAAATTTGATAAGTTTTTATTAAATATTACGAGTCTGTTGAACACAAAAAGTCAGAAGTATAAGGGAAAACATTTATCGCTAAATAAAAAAGCTATGTAGGGCTGGCTGCTGAACTTGAAAAAGGAACCAAACAAGATAGGGATGGAAGTGGAAATATCACTTGATCAGCTAATAATCACAAAGCAGACTACGCTGTCTCAACCAGACATAGGATATTCATAATCAGTATTCGCATTATAATGCATTCAAATACTTTGGTACAAAAAAGTAAAGTATTAATTTTCAATTTCAATAGCATAGTAATTGTATTCACTGAATAATTTAGTGAATATTGTAAGAGTAAATCAACTTTTGTACTCATCAAATATCTAGACTTTCATTATTACATCTGCAGAACATAAATTTTTCTTTCAGTACAAGCTTCATTCCCATGGGATCGAAGCACTAAACTAGTACTGAGAGGAATAAACATTTTTCTGTACAGAAAACAAGAAGATATAATACATCATTTGATAGAAGAAAACCTTGGCTTTCTATTGGTTAAAATAATACAGTACTGAACATCAGAGAGAACTACTGACAAATCCTGAAAGAGAGGATGTGAGAGGTAGGTGTGGCAAGAAGGGTCTGATTTTCGACTTGATGGCTAAGTAACCATGTATTGGAAATACATTTTCAATTTAGGAAAATGTTAACTTCCAAAATATACTTACTTCCACTGCCACTTATAGCTAGAATACCACTTTGAGAAGGAGAAGGGGCTGGTGACGGCATTATCCATACAGGAAACATCTGCATAGATCATGGTTGTACCAAGTTAAAAGTGGTACCCAAGTGGGAGAATTGCACTACATCCAGAACAGGTATGCTCTTCACCCTGTATCAAGGATGGAATTGTACATGAGCGATCATCATTATAAGTCAGCCCCAATCAGATAGCCGAGGTTCCACTACTTGGGGTTGGACTTAAGGGGTCTTGGTCCTTACATACCACGTTGGTGGCTATGGTAATTGGACCACAATGTTATATATAGATATACTTATGAGTGGATCCAACCTGTAGCCATACAATGATCCATTCCAAACCACCAGAATCACAACAAGAAAGTAAGCAACACTGAGAAAAACAAACCTTCTCATCCACCTAAAGAATCCCAAAAGACAACACCCCAGACTCAGAATGATGGGATCATGTATGACTTAATCAAAGGAACAGAACTCATCCAGTCAGGAATTATGAACACCCATCCTCTCTCCCCAACCAAGTGGGCAAGAAACCTTCCACTTGCCTCTGGAATTATGGAGAAGACATGGAACAACTGTGCTCAATCAAGGACCCAAGATGGGACGACTCCATGTTCGGAATTATGAGGAGATAGTGGACCTCCTTCCATGAACAATATACTAAACCAATATTGATCCAAAAGAAGGGCCAAACACACTCCAACTGGATAGCTGAGCATCAAATCTGAACCAATATTACGAGTAGGCTCCCATGTAGGCTGGTGCCACTCCTATCGACATCTGGGGAAAAAAACATCCAGGAAACTGGGTAGGAGGGCCCCAACTTCACCCTCTTCTCCAAGACTAGAGGAATCCACTCTAACACTCTGGTAGAAAAGCCTCTGTCCACCACCCCAGTGACTGGAAACCATGTGTGGTAAGGACTCTCTTGCTCCAATAGTAGAATCAGTGAGGTAATGCACATTAGGAAGTCCTGAGGAACAGTGCTCTGGAAATAGTGCAATAGGTGAACCAAGTTCCCTAAATTTTGAAAGCAAACTGACCCTAATTTATTCAATCCAATGATTGGCAGGTATGGGTAGGATCCCCTTTAGCTTTACTCATGATAGCCCATGAGTGGCAGTCCAGCATAGTATGGTAATAACACCCGGTAAGCTCCTAGGTGGTTTTATGGAGCACCTCATTTCTACAGAGCCTGTTGCAACAGGTAGTAATTATAGTGAAATAGTGGTTGCTAGTACAGAACTGGTTTGATAAAAGCACACCTGCCTGGGCAACATTTGCCACAGAGTGAGATCCTGTTAAAACAAGGTAAGGGACCCTGAAAGGTAGCAATGAAAATACTCACCCCTCTGTATAATCTAGCAGAAATTGTTAAGATAGCTACAGAGGGTAGGCAAACACCCTCAGATGAAGAGACTGCCAGATCAGGCAAATAATGTGAAATAAAGGAATTGAGGGAAGTCCACATACCAGTCTGCACAGTGACCTCCAGTGGACAATTTGACCAGACTGCTAAGGACATAGAAAAGAGAAATCTGATTAGATGTGACTCACAGAAGATAATTTCAAAGAGAGCCCAGAATAAAGTGTTGTCTAGTATCTCTAAATGTATAAGTGCAGGCAACAAAACCTTCAAGACACTCACTGAACATGACCAAGATTGAATTCTGATTGACATAGAGAAAGAGTGAGCAGATGAATCTGAGAAAAGGATTGAACCCCTTTCCTGTCTGATGACAGAGTGTTGGGTAAGAAGAACTGGTATGAGGATGTAGGGAGAAGGAGAAAGTAGTCTGTGGATAAACAGTGCAAATCACTCCAACCAGGGATGTCCGTAGGTCCACAGCTATGAAAAGTAAACCTGCAGGTAAAGAGGATACATAGCATATAAGAGTCAGATTACAAACAGGTGTAGAGAAAGAACAAGTAACCTGAATCTACCTGTTAGGTAATTGGAATGATCATTTTGGACCAATTATCCAAAACAATGTGAGGAATCTGGAGAGTGCTAGGGACTCAAAAATATATAGTTGTGATAATCAAATGGTAGTTGATAAGGCCACAGTAAACAATGGCAATTGTGGAATATGCAAAAACCTCTGTCAAAAAGCTAAGTCAAATAAAGAGTTATGGTTGACAACACTGACTGAAGAGGGTTCAACCTCCTTTTAATACAACATTGCTGATATGCACACCATTATTTTGAGAAAAGTGACTTTTAGACTAAGCAGAAACTGAGCCAGATACATATCAACCACAGAAATTAAAGAGAAAAAATTCATTCCCAAAGCTTTCAGCCATCAATTAAGTTGCAGATTCAAAAGCAACTGGGAAAAAGCCCAAAACACAACAAACTCAAAGAACCAAAAGAAGAAAAACAAATCAAAGGCAGCTTATCAGAAAGTGGCCTCCTTTTCATTTTGCATAGGTCATTTAAAGACAGTGGTAAAGTAAGTTGTTTTGTTAGAACAAAGCAACTGCGGACCATCTGCTGCATCCACCCTAAAGAATCAAATCCCGAGCCTTGGTGCTGCAAGTCCATAAACTTACCACTGACCCACAGGGGAGCTAAAAATCCAACAAATGTTGAGAATCTCCCTCAAATGCAGCCTCAGAGCTCCCTGAAGGACCACCACAGACCCAAATAATGTATCCATCTCACTATGAATAAGATCACTGACAGTCTCAACCGAGAGTGACACCACC